CAGTAATTAGAGTATGGAATGCACTGTCTGGAAAAATAATGGAGGCAGGTTCAATTGAGGCGTTCAAGTAAGTATCAAGTGATTATTTGGATATAAATAGTGTGCAGGGATGTAGGGAAAAGGCAGGAGATTGGCACTAGAAAACGGAACCAGTGCAGGCTTGATGAATCGAATGGCCTCTTTCTGTGTAGTATTGATTTTGTAATGTCCAAAGGTTGTGAAAGATGCTATCTAAATATAAGTTTGTTCCTTCTTTCTCTTTCCAAATCTGGAGAAATTTCAAATGTTTAGTTAATATATTTTTACGAGGTCATGCCCGTGATCGTTCTGTTATTCTTTCTTTTAGCCTAAACTCAGAAGCAGCAATAAAGATGCTATTTTAGAGAACTTGCACAAGGTGACAAGCTGGTTATTTCATCCATCTTACCCACTACATGTGTATGATTCTGTGTGTATTACTCTGAATCCATATATGTTTGAAAAAGTTGATATAAAGCAGATACACGACAGACAGCTTGTTCACTGAACAAGTAAAAGCTAACAAGAAGCATTAAATAAATATTCAATTAGGCACTCAGGAAAAGTGTTATTCAGCAGGACAAATGTAAATTGAGGTCATCCTAAATTCAATTGTCCATGTCTTAAAGCACACAAAATCCTATTCATTTATAGTCCCTGTGCTTACTGACCTACAATGCTTAGCTGGGAGCTAATGTCTTCACTCTTAAATTTTTAAATTTTTTTTTGATTCTCTACAAGATCTTATCCTTCCCTATCTTTGTGATTTCCTTTATTCCCTTAACCATTTGTGCTATCTGTGCTCACCTAACTTTAGTGTTTTGAGGAAGTCAGATTTTACTCATCAATATTGGTGACTGTGTCTTACACTGCTTAAATACTGAGCTCTGGAATACCCTTCTGTAGCTTTCCACCTCTCTACTTCACATTAATTCCTTAAAACCTACTGTTTGACTAAGTGTTTTGTCGTCTAAGCTAATAACTTGGTGTTAAGGAGAAAAAGAAATGTGTAATCCTCAGTCTGCATCCATTTAATAGATGATCTGGTCATTTCTTTTTGTTGGTTGTGGAGCATTTTTGCACATGAATTTAACTACCACATTTCTACATTATAAAAGTGTCACACCTTTCCCCTCAGCAACGGCTTATATTTTGTATTTCATTTAACTTAATAAAACACGTGAGGTATTTTATTGACCAGGATTGACTATATAAATGCAAGTTTGTTTGTTCTTCTGTTTACATAGCTGGACAGCCTGATGGAATTTATTGTTCTGACTTGCAAATGAAGAATTATCAACTGGATGTTGTTCAAGAGACCAGTATTGAGGAAGTGAGTTTTAGGAAATGGGAGGGGGAATTCAGAACAGAATAAAATATAGAAAGACTTTTAATACACAGCCATTAATACATACCTGTTCTAAAGACATTAAGCAGTTTAACTTTAAAAATAAATCATGCCCCCAACTCTAACTTGCGTATAGTGTAGGAAAGTGAGCTTGTGAAATAAATGTTTTCACATGATTGGAACAAATAAAATCTTGTTTCTGAGCTGAATCCTACCATTAATATTTTTCCACTTAGTCAATGTTTTAATTTGGATTTTTGTGAGAAAGTTATGCCTTGAATATTAACTTCAAAATTATCCCTAAATACAGTGAATAATTGTGGTTACATTATTATTGTACTTAGTTTTTACAGGATTGGGGGAGGTGATGAAAGTCTAATAGCCATGCTCAAAATTGTGAAAGGTCTTAAGCAGATATAGGTGAAAGTTAGTGTTTCCTGGTTAACAAATTGATAACAGGAGAACCAAACTGTTATCAGTAACACAACAAAAGGGCAACTTGGGAAACATTCCTTTCCCTATTCGTATTTGGACAGTTTTACCATATGGCTGCAGAGGTTCTAATTGAATAATTATTTTTAAATATAAAAGAAATACTGGGAAAGAGCCTTAAATGGGATTGGAGTTGGTAATTTGGGTAACTAGTTAAATATCCTCCTGTGCTATAATGTGTATTGACTTACAGTTTATTCACCCACAGCATTATGTTGTATCCAGATTCTCAATTACCTAAAACCACAGCATGAACACCTTTTGATAATTCTGACTTTGAAGTGTGATCACTTTTCTGTTGCCAGTTAAAAGAAACTCCTAATAAAGAGTAGATTCCATGATAAACTTCTTGTAATAAGTCATCCAATCTGTCCATGTGGGACTCAAGTGATTTTTTGATTCAGACTTCAGGTCTACGGCTGCATTGTCACACGACATGGTCTCTAAACTTGAATTGTACTGTGAGCTCCATTGACACTCAATGGGACTCACAGATTATAAAAGAAAGGCAGCAAACTTTGTGACTTTCTCAATTCTCATTTAATTACCAACCAGTTTCCAATGTTGCAGTTGTCCGACATAACCCGGGTCTTGTGCTGAATTTTTCCAAGTTACTCTGTGTGTTAGATATGCTCACATTGGAAGAAATATCCAGCCATTAATACAAAGTAAAATTGACTTTCCTTTATAAATAGATATCTACTTTATAACTCTGATATGTCAGCAAGACTTATACACAATAGCAATGTGTTAAATTCTCAAAACATTCATGGACAGAATAAAATAAGAAGGTCTCAGCAGCCAGTAAAGATTCGAACAGCTATTCAATCTGGCTTTGTGAAGATGCAAGCCATTGAGCTGCTTTGCATGGGAGGTCCTGGTCTCAGATGCCAACTATCTGTGCAATGCTATGTTCAAAGGCAAAGATGTGGAGCACAGAGTCATATCATATCATAGAATCCCTTCGGAAGCAGGCAATTTAGACCAATGAGACCACATCCAAACCTCCGAAGAGCATCCCACTTCCTACCCTATCCCTGTAACCCTGCATTTCCCATGGCTGATCCACTTAACCTACGCATCCCTGTACACTATCGGTAATTTAGCAAGGCCAATCCACCTGACCTGCACATTTTTGGACCGTGGGAGGAAACCGGAACACCAGAGGAAACCCAGGCAGCCATGGGAAGAAAGAGCAAACTCCACACAGACAGTCACCCAAGGCTGGAATCGAACCTGGTCCCTGGTACTGTGAGGCAGCAGCGTTAACCACTGAGTCACTGTGCCATCCAGTCATTTAGGGGAAAAAACATTTGTATCTAGGCAGAGGTTGCCAAACCGCTTGATGTCACAAAAGAGCAAATGCTCCCTCTTACTACTTTCTTCTGCTGGTGGTTGGGAATGAGTCTTTGTCAGCTGATGGAGCCAACAGAGGAAGCTGGTGCTAGCAGACTGGGAGAAGAAGACAAGAGCTTCACTGAAGTACAGATTTCATTAACGAGTGACAAAAATGTGAAAAATAATTGTTTGTTAATGAGAGAACCCACTTGGCTCCTGAGGAGGAAAGATTAGATCCCGCCAGGAGATAGAGGCAGAAAATGAGAATGTTTAGAATTGCCATCAGCCTGCACTAGTGCAGCTTTACTTTCTGCTCCAAAATCTTTGCTTTGTTATCGAAATAAGGCTGCACATCACATTCTGTTAATCAATGTTGAAAGGCATTATATTAAAATAAAGTCATTTTATATTAAGATCAAGTAGGGCAAAGGATGATCTTTAATAAATACTGCCACAACTGCTGCCCTCATATTTTCCTGGGAGCCATCACTGTCAGTAGACTTTAAAAGTCTTATTTGATTTTTACTAAGATTTCACTAAATGTGTAATGTATAATTATGTTCTCAAAACCTGCTATAAGATATTATGCTGAGCATTTCTCAGGATATGCGGTTAGTTTGTCAATTGGCACACATCAACCACCTTTCTTCACCACTCCACTCCATCCCCCTCCAAATTTTTGATGTCATCAGAGATTACTATGTTCTTAGTATATCGCAAAGGAGCTTCAAGGCTGACAGTTCTATTTAAGTGATGTGCTGCATTATGTGCATGCTATGTACAGCCACCATAGGATACCTAGAAAGTGAATTTTGCTGGTTGTCATTAACCTGTAAACTTCTGGAAGTTTTGGGAAAGGCTTAACCCAATAAGCAGAAAACGAAATGAGAACTGAAAATTTTGGAAACATTGAGGAAGTCAGGCAATATCTGTGGAGTATGAAACAAAGTTAACATTTCAGGAAGACTATCTTTGTCAAAAGATTGAAAATTTTAAAGATTAATTAATTGTTAAATGAGTACAGTGCCAAAATGTTGTGGGAAAGGGGAGTAAACTCAACATTCCTCATGGTTCTGTATATGCTTAAAATGCCCACCTTGTAAATGTTAACTACAGTAGATAGATAAATGTATTTGTATTAAAAACAATATATCAGCTTTGCTTTCAGTCCAATGTCATGAACAGTTGCTGGTGGCTTAACTGGTAAGTGCAGCATCCAGATTCCTCACCAACTTTAATGCCTGATGTATAGAATGACATAGCAATTACAGTACAGAGTCAGACCATGCTGATGTTATTCTCCACATCAAAAGTCCTAATTAGATGAAGGTGCCCTGTTTCCACATCCCTTTATTCTCCTTCCATCACATTTCTATCCCATCCTTAAGTGTTGACATAGTGACTGAAACAGAATCGAATTCTAGTAACACATTATTCCACAGGCTCACAATTCAGGATGGCAATAGGAATTAGCTTGAATTACATATTCCTGGCTCTAAAGTGGGCCCAGAACCAAAAGCCTTCTGCTTCTAAGACGAGAGTGAGATAAGCTGATCCTTAACTTGGGCAAACCATACCCTTAAGTTGGCACTTACCGTAAAATTAATCAATGAAGAATCCAGCATCAGGTCTACTATACGACATTGTAGGATTTTGTACGAAATAACGTTTAAAATAATCAAAATTATGCAGGACTGTTTTGACACTCCAAACCTATATTTGGATGCCATTGTTTTGCAACATTCAATTTGAATGTGTAGGTTGTGTTTAATGCTGCTGTCTTCTCTTTTCCCATATTGCGCAGATTTCTGTTTCTGGGAATTTATCACCAAGGAAGTCTTTGTATCGCACGCTCTCTGATGAAAGCATTTGCAGTAATCGGCGAGGCTCTTCGTACAACAGCTCCCGAAGTTCAGTGCTTGAACAGGCACTGCCAAATGACATCTTGTTTAGCACCACTCCACCATACCACTGTACTCTACCCCCACGTGCCTCACTCAGCCCCTGCTCCACTGGCCTACGAAGTGAGTGAACAGCAATATTTCTCAGTCTGCTCATCACAAAATATAATGTGTATAATAATGTTTACCCTGCTGTGAAATTGTCAGTTGGCCATTTTCTCATGGATGCGTACTCATCAAAACGGTAATTAAACTAAATTTACTGTAGTTAATGCAGGGACTCCCAGGCATTTGAAAACACAAAGAGCAAACATCCAAGAGTGTTAACTTGTGAAGAGCGAGAAATGTGCATTTTATTGTGAGCTTTGGGCAAGTTTCAAATGATTTCTAATGGGATAAGTGGATCTTTTATTTCCAAGCACTCCTTGTCTTTACTTGGAGCCTTCTGTTTCTCAGATCTGCTTGAGAGTTTGAACAGTGTTTCAACTCATTTCAGAATAGATCTGAAATTTGTAACAGTTGAAAGGAAAGAATGTATTTCTATTTTTCAAATATTTGTTGCCTAACAGTTTTCTCTGGTGCAGTGTGATTCACAGTATCCAGCAATTCATTTTGGCAAACATCTAAATTGCACAAAAAGTGGAGAAATACACCAGTATGCCGAAACCATCTTGTTCTAATTCACGTTGTGATCGATATAGTTAAATCAATGCCTTTCATCATTCTGGACTAAATATTTAAAATACAGTTGTTTTATGAAAAGCCTGGTATAATAAATCCAAGCATAGTGTATAGCAAAGCTAGCTTCGGTCCCAACTATAAGGGATCATTTGGTAAGTAACGAAGAGGAAATAACACTATTTGTTATTTTCCACATTATTTTCTTAGGACATAATCTGGTCTTCACTGACTTAGATTCCAAAAATGACACATTTATTCAATTAGCATCAAACTTTCGAGAACAAAATAGCACCAATAGAGGCACATTAGATGCACCACATTAGATTGCTGGAATGAAAATAATGGTAGCATGAAGTACATTTAAATATATTTTATCTGCCCTTATTTTTTACAATTATATGATAAATTTCTATATATAAATTTATTATGTGAACTGCCAACTTAAATTTGCCAGGTTTAATTAATTCTTTTATTCAGTGATGACACTGGAACACCATCACTGATGGGAAGTTTCGTTCGAAAGTTTCAATCTTTTGTTCAGCCTTTCAAAATAGGGATCAAATTATGCCAGTTCTGATTCTCTAACAATACTTCACCTGAAGACTATATTTGGTCTGGACTCCTTCTGTATTGTCACAAGAGCTGGGAGTGTCCACGGATGTGTAGGCTAGGTGGATTAGCCATGGTAAATGTGGCAATTTGGGGATAAAGTAGGGGGCTGAGTCTGTGTGGGATGCTCTTCGGAAGATTGATGCAGACTCGATGGGCTTCTTTCTGCACTGTATGGATTCTATGATTCTCAGGTTAACAAGGAAGCTAAGGATAGCATTAAGTTAAAGTAAGTGGCTTGTAATGTGGCAAAGAATAGCAGTTAGACTGAAAATTAGCAGACATTATAGAAGCGAGCAGAAGGCCTCCAAAATAGTGATTAAAAAGGGAAAAAAATAAAACGACAGTCAACAAGTCAGTTCTGTAAAAAATATTTTCAGTTTCACGCTTGCTTCTTATGTATTGTAAAAGCAAACATTAGTCCCGTAGATACAGATGCAGGAGAAGTTGTAATGGGGAGTGGGCAAGGAGCAGAAACATTAAAAAGTCAAAACACAAATTACAAAACATAAATTGAGGATAACCATTAGGTCTGAAAAGATTGAGGAACGTAAGGTAGTTATCAGCAGATAAAAAAATTTACAAAAAGTTAAGGGATTAAAATCCAATATATCCCCAGGTCCTGATGGTCTACACTCTAGAATTCTAAAAGAGATAGTTGATTTATATAAATGATTTGATTTGAATGTAGGAGGAATGATTAGTAAGTTTGCAGATGACGCCAAAATCGGTATTGTAGTGGACAGTGAAGAAGGTTATCTCTGAGTGCAACGGGACTGTTATCAGATGGTCTGAGGAGTGGCAGATGGAGTTTAATTTAGATAAATGTGAGTTTTTGCATTTTGGTAAGGCAGGACTTACACACTTAATGGTAGGGTCTTGGAGAGTGTTGCTGAACAAAGAGACCTTGGAATGCAAGTTCACAGTTCCTTAAATGTGAATCGCAGGTATGCAGGGTACTGAAGAAGTCGTTTGGTACACGTGCCTTTATTGGTCACTGCATTGAGTGTAGGAGTTGGGATGTCGTGGTGCAGCTGTACAGGACATTGGTTGGGCCACTTTTGGAAAACTGCATTCAGTTCTAGTCTCCCTGCTACAGCAAAGATATTGTTAAATTTGAAAGGGTGCAGAAAAGATTTACAAAGATTTTGCTGTGCTTGGAGGGTTTGAGCTATCGGGAAAGGCTGCATAGGCTGGGGTTTTTTTCCCTGAAGCACCAGAGGCTGAGTTGTGACTTTATAGAGGTTTATAAAATCATGAGGGGTATGGATATGGTAAATTGCCAAAGTATTTTCCCAAGCTAGGGGAGTCCAAGACCAGAGGGCATAGGTTTAAGATGAGGGGAGGAAAATTTAAAAGGGACCTAAGGGGCAACATTTTCATGCAAAGGGTGGTGTGAGTATTGAATGAGCTGCTAGGGGAAGTATTGGAGGCTGATAAACTTTAACATTTAAAAGGCATCTGAATGGGTATATGAATAGGAGGGATTTAGCGTGATATGAGCCAAATGCTGGCAAATGGGACTAGATTAATTTGGGATATCTGGTCACCATGGACAGGTTGGTTCCGTGCTGAACAACTCCATGACTTGATGACTCTATGCTGAGATCAAAAATGTTCTGGCGAATCCAGCAGATAGTAAAGTTGCAAATGAAATTTTGCTATTCAAGAAAGGACGAAGAGAGAAAACAGAATTTATTCCAGTTAGCTTGTCATCAGTCATTCGGAAAGTGCTGCAATCACCAATTAAGAAAATCTTAACAATGCACTTAGAAAATTAGGACAAGATCAAAAAAGTTTTATGAAAGGGAAATTATGTTTGACAATTTTATTAGAGGATTTTGAGGTTATAGGAGGTAAAAGGGAAACCAGGAAATTGATTTCCAAAAGACATATAATAAAGTACTACACAATAGAGCTATACACATGATACTGGTATAGATAGGGTTTTTTTTTAAAAATTAACCTCCAGATGTGTTATGACATACATTATAAAGAAGAAAGCTTAACTCTTTTTGTTAGCTTTGTCTCTTTTTCCAGGTATGGCTTGGATTGAAAGAATCATGATCCAAACTCCATATTATCTCATATGGTAAATAGAAACAAATTGTAAATTTGCACAAGGTATTTCTTTTATTCATTATCAATGGTTATGATAATGCTCCTGAACAAGTAATCCAGAATCTAGGACTGATCCAGAGAACACTAGTTCAAATCCCATCATAGCATTTGAGAAGTTGAACTGAAAGTTTGGTAATAATATTCTTGGCTCTGAGTTGCCCTTTAAATTCTCTCTGCAAGGCACACCATTGTGTCAAAACCATTACAAAGAATTAGCACCTTCACAGTATGGACTCAACTATTTAAGACGACTCTTGGGGATCTAGGGAAAGGCAATAAATACTGCCCATGCCAGTGATGCCCATATCCTGAGAATTCTTTTAAAAAGTCCCTCCGCTACTGGATCCCATATTCCTTACAAAATAGATGCACAGAAAATAGAATCAGGACTGGCTCCTCAAGCCTGCTCTGCCATTAAATATAATCATGACTGATCAATCAATTCAGTACCCTGTTCCCACTTTCTCCCCATACCCTTTGAGCCTTTTATCCCTAAGAAGTATGTCTATCTCCTTCTTGAAAACATTCAATGTTTTGACCTTAATCACTTTTGTGGCAGAGAATTCCACCGGCTTACCACTGTCTGGGTGAAGAAATTTTTCCTCATCTCAGTCCTAAATGGCCTACCCTGTACCTTAAACTGTGACCCCAGTTCTACAGTAAGAATTTAGCATTACTGTCCAATATTTTGTTGTATAATAGTGTAAATAGAAGGGTTAACAATGGAAACCCCTGATTGCATAAACTGAATAAGATAACCTCACATGTGGCCAACCCTCTACTTCTCCTGTCAATTAAAAAACTGAAAACTCTTTACGGAGTCATTTATTTCTGCTGCACTGTAAATGAACAGAGTGATGATTACAACAAATGTCGCATTATTTTAAGAACCTAAGAATAGAAATAGGCCATTCAGCCCCTCGAACCTGTTCCAACATGGCTGATCTGTGGGTTAACTCTATATACCTGCCTTTGGCCCATATCCTTTAAACTTTGGCTAAGCAAAAGTATTATCTATCTCAGATTTAAAATTAACAACTGACCCTGTATCCACTGCCATTTGTGAAAGAGAGTTCCAAACATCTACCACCCTTTGTGTATAGAAGTACATCCTAACATTTCCCCTGAATTGTCTAGCCCTAATTAGTTCTCAGACTATGCCCGCTATTCTAGAATCCTCAACCTGTAATGCTTATTAGTGCCATAAACACCCTCATATAACCATGAACTTCTTTGAAACTTTGGTGAATAGTGAACTTAAGATGGCAGTCATCTTTTCTTAGTGTCTGTTGTTGTTACTAATTCTGATGAGCCGGTGTCTTAGGACCATGTACTGTTTGTTTCTTTCTTTGTTAGACACGAAGGGAAAGGCTTGATCTCAAGCCCCCACCCCAGTCTTTATCCCCAAGAATAGAGCAGTTGAACTACAAATCAAACCAACTACCATTCATCCGGCTATGGTCCTTTTTCAGACAGATCCAAATGGAGACATGAATGAATTTGGAATATATCAGTGATCTGGCATCATGTTACAACTCTAACAGAAGTAATGCACTAAAAATTAAGTCCTGCTTCTCCAAAAGCTGTACTAAAATTGTAAATGTTTAATCACAAAACAAATCTATTTGTTACTCTTTATCACTGCTATGTAGAATAGAAAAGACTTTCACTAGGTTTCCTCAGTAAACTCAAAAACTTGTTTATTAGAAACAAACTTTGGTTTAAGTGTGGCCAGGCTGGTCATCAACTAAGCTACTATACAGGCAAACCTAAACTATATCCCATTAATCTCAAACATACACACTCTCGCAGACAGACAGCACGGAACAACAGAGCTTTACAGAGCAATTATGAGCAGAAAAATAGGAAAATTCCAGTTGATCAAGAGTTCAAACTAAAAGGGTAGAATGAGGTGACTTTGCAACCAATCCCTTTGTTTCTTGTCAATGAGATTACTTTGCTGTCAGTTGCAGAGCAATGGAAGAGATTCAGTTCATGCAGCAAGTCAGTTAGACTTGGGTCTTATGACTGAATTAACACTTTGGCTTTCAGAGTTTGAGGAAATAAGAGATACTGATTCCAGGAGTTTTCTCTGGTTCTCAAGAAATACTTCACTGAGATATTTCTTCAACTGGTTTTCATCAAGAGTTATACTATTACTGTGAGAAAAGGAGCGATATTTTTCCTCTTACCAGTTTATTCCACTGCCCACAGCTTCAAAGTCTACAGCAATGCAAGTACCACCTCAGTTCAGAAGTTGTTGCTAGCCATTCTTCAAAACAAGGCCCCTTCCAAAACACAATTTGTTTGTCTCACTGTTAAGGTCATAAATCATTCTTATCTGTCCTTTAAAAGGTTTTCCCCCAAGTCACTTGGCTTTCGGTAAATAGTAAATAATCCCCAGTTCATTTGACTTTTTGTGTTCCAAAAAGTTACATAGTAAATCCTTTGCAAACCAGAAATAGTCCAATATTCAAGTTTCCAAATTCTCATAATCTATAAATATGTGTTCCAAATATACCTCCACCCTTGAGACTCAAAGCGCCATTTCCAGAAGTATTTCATTACACTGTAAAACAACGCATACAGAACAAAACATAGAAAAATTGCATTCATACTCACGTCTAGTTTTTGTTTTTGACAATTATTCTACAGAACCTACTAACACTACTGATTGGCTCTTCAAAACTGGGTATGGACATTAAAGGTGCTGGTTTGAATACATGCAGTTTTTATCTAAACTCTGGAGCCATGCTGCTGCTGGGAGGCTCTGCACACGTTAGTTGACCTCAGAGGTCCATGCAGCAGCAAAAAAAGGTTAAATATTGATTAAACATTGAGTTTTTACCCCTGCCCAACACATATGACATGATTTACAGAACTGCAGTGCGTTCTTATGAAGACTTGGGCAGTAAAAATGCCTGTTTATCAGGTCTCAAGTTTTCCATATTCTTATATGTCCTTGGGAGATGGGCAGCACCACCATCCAAAGAATAAGTAACCACTCTCGTCTGAGATCTGAGGATGAGTCCATTTCCTCATCAGAATTCCATTTTCCAATGTTCTAGATAGCAGTGATGACAAGTTGTCACCCTCAGCCTCAATATGGGCTGATTCTGCAGACTTGCTTAACTCCAGACTGTTTCCTTAAATTCAAAATTTTTACTTGCATGATTCAGAAACCAATCGAGATGCACTCAGAAAGCATTTTCGACTATATCATCGTCCATTGAAATCTCTTCTGACAGTCGTGTATAAATCTCATGTTCTGTACCTGTTAACCTGCTCTGCATTTGTATTGTTCAGTGTTCCATAGACCACTTTTCTTGTTTGCTTTTTCAAATGACATAAAGAATGCCTCTATATGCATATCCTCAACTTATGGAGTGTCTGTACAAGTTTAATCTTTTCATACAGGATTTTAAATTATGGCTAGAGTTTTCATCAGAATCATTATCTCCATCAATGAATTTCAATCCATTTTGTAATGCTCTTTGTTTATTGTTCATTTGTTTTGTAAATGCCCTCTTATCACCTTTGATTTCTAAAAATGGTCAAAAATGAGCTTTAGATGACATTTCTTTTCCTTAGTGCCTGATCATGTTACCAATTCTGATTAGTCTGTGTCTTTAGACGACACATTGTTCCTTTCTTCTTAGCTTCTAGGCAAGAAGGAGAAAGATGGATCTCAAATCCATCCCCATCTTTATATCCAAGGATTTTGCAGTTGAACTGCAAGTCAAACCAGCTACAATTTACCTGGTAATACACCTTATTGTCCACGTACTCACAGGTCCAAACAAATAAGGAATTAAAGCAATTCTTGCAGTATACATGCAAGCATCAGTAGGAAAACCTAGAATATGTCAATGACTTCTGCATTATGTTATGACTGTGATAGAAAGAGTGCACTGAAAATGCAACCCACTTCTCCACGAGCAGTACCAAAAGTGTAAGTGTTTATATAATCACGAAAATCATCAATTTGTTATTATTGCTAACACTGCTATCCAGAACAAAAGAGATTTTGAATACATTTCCTCAGTAAACTCATAAAATAACTTGTTTATTAGAAGAAAGCTGTGATTTAAACACATGGACAGACTGATAATCAACTAAGCTACACAGCAGGACTAAGCTATATTCCCTTTCTCCTAAACACTTGCACACTGTCAGACAGACGGGCAAGACAATACAACAGAACTGTTCACAGCAATGATATGTGGAAAACTAGAGCATCAATGAGGGAAAAAAATTAGTGAAAACCTGTGCTGATGAAGAGTTCATTCTAGAAGAGTAGAATTAGATCACTTCTCACAGATTTCTTCGCTACTTGTCAAGCATTCATATTGCTATTTGTTGCACTGATCAAAGATCCTCAGTTGATAGCTAGATGTAGGTCTTATGATTGAATTAAGACTTAAGCTTTCAGAGCTTGAGGAGATGAGAGATATTGATTCCTGGAGCTTTCTCTGATTCTCAAGTGATACTTCACAGATATTTCTTCAGCTGGTTTTCATCTACGATTATATTGTTGCTCACATACAGAAAGGGGAAATATGTTCCTTCCTACCAGCTTATTCCAACTGCCCACAGCTTCCAAGTCTATGGCAAAACACATGCCATTTCTGTCTGGATGCTGCTGCTAGACATCCTTCAGCACTAGACTCCTTCCAAACCTCAACCTGTTTGTCTAGCAATTGAAGTCATAAAACAATCTCTTATCTCAAAAACCCTTCTCAAAAGTCATTTGGCTCTTTGTAAACATTGTACAAACCCCAGTTTTTTTTTCCCACATTGACTATTGTATTCCAAAAAGTCACCTGTTAAATATTTTGTAACCCAGGAATGGTCCAGACCGTCTTTTTTTCAATTCTCATAATCCACAAAAATGCGTTTCCAAGAATTGGCTCAAACTAATGTGGCCAATCATCTAGGTGTCTTTTGTTCCGTTGAGAGCAAGTAATTCAGTGTCCAGTGCCCCTTGTCCTAATATTTTTCAATGAAATTAAAATCCACACCATCAAGTATGATTTCACAGTAAAATATGATATTCTTTCCAGGCCAAATCTCAAAGCATGACAGTAGCATTGATATTTCCACTATCAATAATGCTGCATTTTATAACAAGCTCCTGCTTGTATACTTCTTTTTTCATTCTAGAAATTTGGGCATCTCTAACAAAACATATATGATTTCCCTGAGAAAGTTTTGGAGAGTCTTCTGAGTAGCTTGCTTAGGTCACTTCAAAGATGAGTAAAGAGTCAACCATGCTGAGCCATAGAGTTTTGTTGCATATAGGGGCACTTAGATTTTTATTAATAAAAAAAATCAACTTTATTTAAAATGATAGGTTATGAATGAGTAGTGACATTTGCCTGAAACATACAATAAAACAAATTGCGATATGAACACTGTTCAAACAGAATTGTGGAAGTAGTACAGTCTTGGGCAGCACAGTTTATCACTGGTCAAGATATGTGCCTGTTTTAAATAAAAAATCAAATCTCAGTGGTAATTAAAATCTTGAAAATATAAAAGTTCAAATTTTAAGCATATTATAACAGAATAAATCTTTTTTCTTCACAGCTGAATTCTGGTTCTCTGATGGATCTTTAGTGGATAAGTCGAGGTTTACAGATCCTGGCTTGATGCCTCTTCCAGATACTGCTTCTGGATTAGACTGGTCGAACCTTGTAGATGCTGCACGAGCATTTGAAGGTAAAGAGAAAAGCTATCCGTAACCTTTGTAGAAACAACCATATCTCAGATTTAGCACCTGAACAGCATGAATACTAACCTAAATGGATTTGTTAATTTAGAAAAGAGTGGTGGGTGAACTTTGCACAAAAGGATATAAAGTCTTGATTGGAAAGTGTTTTTGGATGATGTATAAATTGCTCACATTTCCATGAATACAGACTCCGATTTAGACAGCACGTTTTTGCAATACATTGTCACAGCTTTTAAATTAAAAGGTTGAGTTAGAACGTGAGAAGCCATGTAAAACAGATTTCAAATGTGAAATAATTAAAAGCATTTCAAGGTAGAAGCCTGTGGTTTTCTATAGTATACAAGTCTCAAATAAAGGTCTTCAGTTTGAATTCCGTTCTCATGACATTGTAAAGAGAACAACCCAGAAAGAGGCCATTTGGCACAGATGATTTATGTTGGCTCATTTGCCCTATACAAATCTCCTCTTTCATTGTTAACCCATCCCAAAACTTGCTTCATCAAACTCTATCATTGTTATCTCCTATTCCTTTCTCCCTAATGTAATTTTCCATTTTGCCCTTCAGTGCATCTTTGCGTAAAGAAATTTGAAGCTATGTTAATGGACCATCAGGAGAAAGCCATCTCTTCCAGCATTTCTCATTAGAGTTGCCAACTTTGATTGCGTGTCACAAGATCTCAAACCAGACCAACTCAAACAACTTTTAGTAATATTCAATGCTTCTATAAATATTAAATTAAAAATGATCTAAGAAAATAAAGAAAAATACTTTTCAGTACCTTTACTCTTTTTTTCTTATTAGCGATAGCATGGTTTTGTGCAGGAGAGGTCTTGCCTCACTAACTTGATCAAGTTTTTTGAGGAAGTGACAAAGATGGTTGATGCTGTCTACATGGACTTTGGTAAAGCTTTTGACAAGGTCCCTCATGGTAGACTGGTACAAAAAGTGAAGTCACATGGTATTGGGGTGACCTGGCAAGATGGATACAGAACTGGCTTAGTCACAGGAGGCAGAGGGTTGTGGTGGAAGGATGCTTTTCGGTATGGAGGGCTGTGACTAGTGGTGTTCCACAGGGAACATTGCTGGGACCATTGCTGATCATGGTCTGCATAAATAATTTGGAGGAAAATTTGGCTGGTCTAATTAGTAAGCTTGCGGACAACACAAAGATTAGTGGAGTTGCAGATTGTGAGGAGGATTGTCAGAGCATACAGCAGGATATAGACTGGTTGGAGTCATGGGCAGAAAAATAGCAGGTGGAGTTTAATCGGGACAAATATGAGGTGATACATTTTGGAAAGTCAAGTACAGGTGAAAATTATACAGTGAATAGCAGAACCCTTAGGAATATTCATATGCAGAGAGATCTGGGTGTGCAGGTCTACAGATCACTGAAGGCAGCAGTGCAGGTAGATAAGGTAGTAAAAAAGGCCTTTGGAATACTTGCCTCCATTGGAAGGGGCATTGAGTAGAAACATAGACAAGTTATGCTGCAACCTTACAGAACCTTAGTTAGGCCACACTTGGAATATCGCGTACAACTCTGGTCACCACAATACCAGAAGGATATGGATGCTTTGGACAGGGTACAGAAAAGGTTTACCAGGATGTTGTTTGGTATGGGGTATTTTAGCTATGACAAAAGGTTGGATAGACTGGGTTTGTTTTCACTGGAATGCAGAAGGTTGAGGGGCGACCTGATAGACATTATACTTTGAGTAGCATGGATAGAGTGGAAAGTATGAGGCTTTTTCCCAGTGTGGAGGGGTCATTTACGAGGGGACACAGGTTGAAGGTGTGGAGTGGGGAGGATGTTTAAAAGAGAGTGCAAGGCATATTTTTCATGCAAAGTGTAGTGAGTGCCCGGAACACGCTGCCAGAGATGGTGGTGGAAGCAGACACAATAGCAACATTCCAGAAACACCTGGACAATACATGAATAAGAAGGGAATAGAGGGATATGGATCTTGCAGGTGAAGACAGTTTTAGTACGGAAGGGCAAAATGTGTAAGCACAGACTTGGAGGATCAAAGGGCCTGTTCCTCTGCTGTATTGTTCTTTGTTTTTTCTTCTCTTTGTGTTTCCCACAGTAGTGTTCAAACCAGTCATCTTAAATTCTGGTAGGTTCCAGGACAATCCTGGAGGATTGGCAGGCTAACTCTCATGTGCCTGACTCAGTGAAGGGTTACACTGTCCAATGGTTATAGCTAAAGGACAATGCAGTGTAATTCTCAAGGGAGGAATCTAAAATAGGTTATGTAAGTTAAATGAATAACTCAACAAGTGAAATTAAGCAACAAAGAACTAAAGTGTATTTATTTCAATGCAGGAGGTCTTAAAGATAAGGCTGATGAATTCAAGGCATGAATAAAAACAAGGGATTGGGACGCCATAACTATTACAGAAACTTGGCTGAGAGATGGACAGGACTGGCAGCTCTGTGTTCCGGGTTGTAAATGCTATAGGAAAGGAGGCAAGACAGGAATGGGAGTGGCATTTTTGATTAAAGAATACATTATTGCTGTAACTAAAGAAGATATTTCTGAAAAATCATCCAGTGAAAATTTATGGATTGAAATTAGAAAAAAGAAAGGAAATATCACATTGGTGAGATTTTACGATAGACACCCCAATAGTCAGAGGGAAATTGAGAAACAAATATGTAGGGAGATCTCAGATATATGTAAGCATAATAAGGTTGTAATATGGGTATTTTAATTTTCCAAGCTTTGACTGGGACTACCACAGTGTTAAAGGTTTGGATGGTGAAGAATTTATCAAATGCGTTCAAGAAAATTTTCCTTATTAATATGTAAATATTCCTAATAGAGAAGGAGCAAAACTAGACCTCCTTTTGGGCAATAAGGCAGGGCAGGTGACTGAAGTAAGTGTGGGAACATTTGGGTCTAGTGATCATAATTCTATTAGTTTCAAAATGGTTTTGGAAAAGGATAAGCCTTCCATAAAAGTTTCATTGCAGTAAGGCAAATTTTAATCTTTTGAGACGAGAACTTTCAAAAGTTGATTGGAGTAGACTGTTAACAAGTAAAGGATTGTCTGACAAGTGGAAGGCTTTCATGAGTGCGTTGACAAGAGTTCAGAGGCATTATATTCCTGTTAGAGTGAAGAATAGGCTGGTAAAATTAAGGAACAATGGTTGAATAAAGATATTGAGGCTCTCATCTTATTTTGGATATAGACAACTTGGTTCAATTGAATCTCTTAATCAATATAAAGAGTATAGGGGCATTCATAAGAGAGAAATCAGGACGACAAAGAGGATATGAGATAGCGTTGGCAGATAAGGTGAAGGATAATCCAAAAATATTCTACGAACATAGTCAGAGCAAGAGGGTAACTGGAGAGAGGGTAGGGCCCCTTAAAGATCAAAGAGGTTGTCTTTGTGTTGAACCCCAGAAGATGGGAGAGATACTAAATGAATATTTCACATCAGTTTTTACTGTGGAGAAAGAAGTGGAGGCCAGAGAATGCAGAGAAATAAATTTTGATATTTTAAAAACAATTCACATTACAGAAGAGGAGTTTCAGGAGATCTTAGAGAATATAAAGGTGGATAAATCTCTGGGACCTGATCTAATGTATCCCAGAAAGTTGTGGGATGTAAGGGACGAAATTGCAAGACCACTTGCATAAATATTTGCGTCATCCATAACTACGAGTGAGGTGCCTGATGACTAGAGGGTGGCTAAAGTTGTACCTTTGTTTAAGAAAGGTTAAGAAACCGGGGAACTATAGACCTGTGAGTCTGACTTCAGTTGTGGGTAAATTGTCGGAGGTGCTTTTAAAAGATAGGTTTTATGGACATTTAGAGAGGCAAAAATTGATTATGGATAGTCAGCATGGTTTTGTGTGAGGAAAATTGTGTCTCATAAACTTGGTTGATTTTTTTGAGAAAGTTATCAAAAGGATTGATGTGGGCAAAGCAGTAGATGTTGTTTACTAGGATGTTAGTAAAGTCTTCATCAAATTTATGCATGGTAGGCTAATTAGTTAGGTTAGGTCACGTGGGATTCAGGATGAGCTTGCTAACTGGATACATAATTGGCTTAATGGCAGGAAAAAGAGAGTAATGGTGGAGGTTTGCTTTTCGGACTGGAGGCCTGTCACCAGCAGTGTTCCGTAGGGATTGATTCTGGGCTCTCTTATTTTTGCAATTTGGATGAGAATATAGAAGGCATGGTTAGTAAGTTTGCAGACAGCACCAAAATTGGTGGCATAGTTGACAGTGAAGAGGATTTTCTAAGATTACAAAAGGATCTTGATCAAATGGGTCAATGGGCTGAAAAATGGCAAATGGAGTTCAATCTGGATAGGAGTGGCATTGCTGCCTCACAGCACCAACGACCTAGGTTCGATTCCACCCTCAGGCAACTGTCTGTGTGAAGTTCGCACATTCTCCCCGTGTCTGCGTGGGTTTCCTCTGGGTGCTCCGGTTTCCTCCCACAGTCCAAAGATGTGCAGGCTAGGTGGATTGGCCATGCTAAATTGCCCATAGTGTTCAGGGACGTGTAGATTAGGTGGGTTATAGGAGGATGAGTCTGGGTGGGATGCTCTGAGAGTCGGTGTGGACTTGGTTGGGCTGAAGGCTCTGTTTGCACACTGTAGGGATTCTATGGTCTATGAAATGCAAGGTATTGCATTTTGGTACAACAAACAAGGGTAGGGCTGATTTGATTTGATTTATTGTCACATGTACCTAAATATAGTGAAAAGCTTTGTTGCGAGCAGTATAGGCAGATCATAGTAAGCAAGGAACTACAGATCATAGAGTGTAAAAAAAAAACTTGGGCAGAGTGAGGCATAGAGGTTACACTTCATAGGACGTGAGCGAGGCAAGATCAACATTAATAAGATCAACATTATTTGAAGTTAGAAAGTCCATTCATCAGTCTAATAGCGGCAGGGAAGAAGCTGTTCTTGAACCTGCTGGTGCATGTGTTCAAGCTTCTATATCTTCTGCCTGACGGAAGAGGTTTTAGGTTACCAGTGTGCGATGGGTTTTTGATGATGTTGGCAGCCTTTCCATGGCAATGAGAGTTGTAAAAGGAGTTCAGGGATGGAGGATTGGCTTCCATTTTGGTCTGGGCTGTGTACACATCCTTCTGTAGTTTTTCACAGTCCAAGGCAGAACAGTTGCCATACCTTTCTATGGTGCATCTGTAAAAGTTGGTGAGGGTCCTTATGGATATGCCAAATTTCCTAAGCTGCCTGAGGAAGAAGAGGTGTTGTACCTTCATGACCATTGCTTCTATGTGGGAAATCCATGACAGTTTGTGGGTTATCGTTATTCCTAGGAACTTGATGCTGTTGACTTTCTCAACATCCACAACGTTGAAGTAGATGGGGGAGTGTTCTCCTTTCTTTCTGAAGTCCATGATCAGTTCTTTTGTTTTGCCAACATTGAGAGAGAGGTTGTTATCATTGCACCACATCACCAAGCCCTCTGTCTCCTTTCTGTATTCTGACTCTTCGTCGTTTGATATCCGTCCTACCACAGTGGTGTCATCAGCAAACTTGTAGATGGCATTTGTTCGGAATTTGACTACACAGTTGTGGGTTTACAGGGAATACAGTAGGGGACTAAGAACGAATCCTTGGCGGGGGGCAGCTCCAGTGTTTCAAG